TACAGGTAATATGAAAATAAGAGGATGTGGTATGATTGCGAATGAGACAACAATCCACCAAAGTTCAAATGATGTGGACGTAAGCAATTATAGGCAACCGTACGGCCTTCGACAATGAGAATAAAAGGCCCCGACATGAAAAATGTGAAACAATTCAATTGAGAAAACTAACGGCCTAATTCATATCAAAATAATTTACGAAAAACAAATATGACAGACATGAACCAACGACAACCATTGGATACAGGATCCTGACTTGGGACAGGCACATACATAATGTGGCGGGGTTAATAGATATAAGAAGATGTGGTATGAGTGCCAATGAGACAACTCTCCATCCAAGTCACATTTGTAAAAGTAAACCATTAGAGGTCAAAGTACGGCCATGTTTGTGAGCGCTCAACCCGTCCCTAGCCTGTGACAGTGGTGTTACAGCACAACATAAGAACAAACTATAAATATCAGTTGAAAATGGATTAACTCATCAAATCGATACAAAGCAGAAAAACATCGTACAAAAACACAGATCGGACGTGGCAGGGTATTTATACATCCCGAATAAGTCCATTGTTTCAAGATACAAAGTGTTTTAAGTTGGTAATCATACACGTACTAAGTGAAATAGCACTATTTTTGTCGAGCGTTTCGTAAAGGGTGATTACATTTACACAAAAAAAGGATTCACAAATAGAAAGCTGACAAAATCGTCCTGATTTCAACAACATTTAGACATAAGAAAAATAGAGTGCCTTAGACCTAAGAAAAACAGAGTGCAAGATTTGACAAACTAAATATTCAAGTCAGATATGTAATTTGTCATTACAAACATAATGTTAAAAGATCTTTTTGTCGACGTATACGCTGTATGTTTCAGGTCCTAAAAAGCAATGGAAATTGACAAGTTTTCATAATATTTACAAGGAATCAAAATTTGTTCTATTTGTGACGAAATGAAAACAAGGCTGATTTTTTCAACAAAGAGAATTATTTTCTATCAAGTCATTGTGTTAGATATGATTCTTATGTGAATAATGCTCAATAAATCCTTATTTCAAATTTTAGCACAAGAAGACAAGCAAACAAAGTTCAAACAAACGGACCAATTTCTTACGTCTACTTCATCTGAACTTTGGTGGATACTGAGTTGTCTCATTGGCAATCATGCCACATCTCCATATTTTTATACAGATGAGGCTGACTTGATAAAGTTACAAAAATGTGGTGGGGGTTATAACCTTCATAAGTTTATGGATTTCGGGTCTTAAACTTTGTCCCCTTTTTAAAAGGTTCCGCGCTCACTATACTCAAATATATATGACATAGATGGAAATCAAAATGCATGGTTATTGTTACTTCTGCAAAAGCAATTTATGTGGGTTGTTGAAGGTGGGCACTCATGAAATACGGCCCATGAAGACTCTGGTGTTTTAGAAGGCACAGTGCTAGGACTGGCGATGCTCTTCCTCTGCCACACCAAGGACTTGCCGGAATGTGAAAATTCCCAATTTCTGCTCTTTGAAGACGACTGTCTACTATATTAAGAAGTCAAAACCACGAAAGACCACCAAATTCTCCAAGAAATCTTAACGCTCTGGATGAATGGTTATCAAATTGGGAAATGAAATTTAATGCTAACGAGTATTAAATAAAAATAGACACATTTCTATCAGCTAGAAAACCACGCATTAGAACAAGTTAAGAAAGAAAAAATGTATGTGGCCGGTCTCAATTTATCAGACGATCTAAAGTGGACCAGTCATGTATATTTAAATTTACTAGCAAAGTAAATAGTACGATAGGTTTTCTGAAAAGAAACTTACGCAAATACCCCAAGAATGCAAAAATAGCCTATGCTTTCCCCGCCACATTATGTATGTCTGTCCCAAGACAAGAGCCTGTATTTCAGTGGTTGTCGTTTGTTACTGTATATCATATTTGTTTTGGGGTTAATGCATTTTTGTGTACATAAATCAAGCCGTTAGTTTGAGTTGTTTTACATTGATGTGTCATCTCGGGGCCTTTTATACGGCTTGCTATATGCGGTATGGGTTTTGCTCATTGTTGAAGGCAGTACGGTGACCTGTCATAGTTGTTAATTTCTACATCATTTGGTAGGGACGGATGCAGGATGATGAAAATTATATAAATCGTGAAAAACATGATATAATAATTGTTTGGGCGATCGAATGGGTGGGGGTGTACGCCATCTACGCCCCCTGGATCCGCCACTGCTTGGTCTTTGCTCAAAAGTTGTCTCAGCTGTCTATTATACCACATCCTCTTATTGGAATATGGTGCTGTCAATTGGAACCCATCTACCATCAGGAACTGATTAGAGAAGACGGAAGCATATTTAATTATACAGAAAAGACTGGTGCACGCTTAGATTTCTATTTCTACTTAATAGTTTATCTTAATATAAAAAAAATAATAAATTGAATGTGTCACTATGTCAAATTGTTAGAATTGATTTTTTTCGTAATTCTCAAATGAATTTTACTTCAAATACTTTCCACAAAGCCATGCGTAGTCATGCGTAGTACAAGCGCACGTGTGATATAACGTCACAGTACCCAAATTGCACCTATTTTGACAGTTTTCACCTACGTTTATTTATGATCCAGACAAAAGTTTCCATGCTGTGTTTATTTTGCAGATGTATCCTTATTTACTATATAGTTCCACCAATTTAATTTTGAATGTATATTGCAATCATAGAAAAATGAGTTTGACGCGACCTCTAAACGATCCATGATTCTCTCAGATGATTCTGTAATGAGGAGTACCCAAATTGCATCTATGCTTAAATTCACATCCGTAAAAATCAAATAACTCAGATGTTAATTTCTCCAAATATTTAAAACAATCTGACAATAGTCCATGCTTAATTACTTCTTTAAGAAATTGGTGCCTGTAACATAATTTTAAAAATTGCTCATTTTCAAAAGATGCTGACTTCGCATGGAGACGATTCCGTAGATGAGGGAGTGGACAGGGGGGTACCCTTCTCCCACCTCCCGCCTCCCACTTTTAGAATCTTTTTTTTCTCTCCCACCTATTTTTTGTCTCCCCGCACCTCCCCTCCTCCCCCCACCTCCCTCAAAAGCTGTCCACCCCCTCGTAGATTTTACTTTGTTCACTGGATGCTTTGAAAATCTGATGATATATACCTGGGACTATTATACTAGTTAGTATAATAGTCCCAGTATATACCGTGAACGTTTTGTGACTTGTTAAATATATTCAGCTACAGTGGCGGATCCAGAGGGGGGCGTAGAAAGCGTACGCCCCTCCCCTTTTTGCTTGCACTTTTTTTTTTTTTTTTTTTGTAAAATGATTAATCAGACTAGACTTCGTGAACTTTGCCATTTCCCGTGTATTTCATTTTTATGCGACAATTCTTTACTTATAAAGATATTTTTCGCTCGTATTTACTGTAATATATTACTGATTATGTCAAAGTCATGTGATTCACTTCGGTGGAGTTGACCAGTGCGTCGAAAAAAACGTCACTCAGTCATTTTGAAATTCAAATTTCAGAAACACATTGCTTAGGCTGAGGATGATAATCATTACACCTTCAAAGCGACAAAGGATTGAGCAAGAACGTAGTGACTTCTATTTCACAATTCCACCAAACAGAAAGTAATATAGTCTATTACACTCTCATGAAAAAAAAATCCACAGCAGAATTATTTACCTTCGAAAACATGTTTCACCCAACACACACCAGCCTATTAATAACATAGCTGAATAATGATCCTTAGTCAGTAAGCTCTAGATAGATTTAAAGTCTAAGGTACGGACCATTTGATTTGAGGAGACAGTCTGAGATATTTGAGAGAAAAAATTCTGACCCTGATTTTTGCCTTAAACAAAACTTCTGGCCGTATCAAGATTGAAAACAATAATCTTGTCCAATTTTTTGCTATTAGAAACAAAAATTTCCAACAGAATTATTTAAATAATTAAATGTACATGATGAATAAAAAACGGGCGTAATTTTTTTGGGGCCGGGCGTTTGCTTGTAAATCCCATATCTGACCGGAATGTCTGTTTCGCCGAACTGATATTTTGAATACTTTTTTCAAGGCCCGACTGCAACCTGCCTGCTGAATGTGGCCTTTATGTCGTCACTTGTAGACCGTCATTCATAAATTCGTTGTCATTTCAGACTCATTCGTAGCCTTTGGTTGATTTGGAACCCCTCACTTCCCTTGTTGGGTGAAACATTTCAACCAAACATTTGGATAAAAATTGCTTGTTTGTCTTTCTTAAATCGTGTCGGTCGTATTGTAAATGTCATTGAATAGCCCGGCGTATATCTTGTTTACAACAAGAAATCTGTGAAGTTATGCTAACTAAACATACAACAAACGAGTATTTTCCATGTCCATTTTTTACTGACAAGTCCCACATCAAATATATTAGTACATATAGCCGTTTGGATCCAATCATCATTTTATAATAGACAACTAATGGGGAGAATACGGCATCAAAAATGTCCAACCTTTAACTACTAGTATAAAAATATACATGCCCCCCCCCCCCCCCCCCCCCCCCCCCCCCTTTTCCAAAATCCGGGATCGGCCTCTGAGCTATGTTGAAAGACTTGTATAATGTCAAATTATAAACTGAATACAAATGGTTTAGTCTCCAAGAAAACGTGTAAAATTCCCGCTGCTATTTTTGCTGAATAGGTGCAATTTGGCATGTTGGGTACTAGAGGTGCAATTCGAATTTCGCCGGGGTACTGTGACGTTAATCTTCAATGTGTTGAAGGCGGTAACAACACAGTAGAATAATAATTTGTTTACCACGATTCTTACTCGTTTGTTCAAATTGTTATTTTAAATCTTTTTAGAAAGAAAAATACCACTTTGTTTGTGATAACTGTTTAATCCCAATCTGAAGCCTTTTGCCGATTGCCAGGTTGTATCATGAAATTTGAAGCGTTTTGATGACAAATCAACAAAAACATTACTCAGACAAAGATGTGACCCAATTAAATGCACATGCGTACTCAACAAATTGTCAGAAAATCGAGAACCTGTTCAAATGAGGGAAAACACATCCAAATAATTTAATGTAACTCGGTAAAAATGCATCAATCGTAAATAAGTAAATGAGATCTGGGAAAAAGGATGTCTTCTCTAGTTTCTGGTGGAGAAAAAAATGCACCATGTCGCTTCTTTTTGCAAACAGGCACTTGTAATTAAGGCGACGACTGTCAATTTCTCCACCATAAACCAGGTGTTGGGTTTCAAAAACAGTTCACAAACGGTTCTGTAGAAGACAAACAAGGTGCGATCTAAGGCATCCCTGACACTATTCCAAAACTAGAGTGTCATATCATGTTAGGAATACGCAATTAATCGAGATTAACTGTTAAAATTTCTTGGATTTGAAATTTTGTATTTTATGTTTAAATAATATTCTAAAAGCTGCCTTTGTTTATTTTAAAACTGCATGTATTTTATGTATAGACACAAATCATTGATATTACCAAATATTAATACCTTGATTCATTTGTAGCTACCATATTTTAAAACTGACATTTGCTGTACTAATGGAAAATGTAAACTTTTTGCATGGTCATCAAATAGGCCACTTCATGGTTATTGCAGCCATATTGAAAAGGGGACAGATGTTTAGGGTGGAGGTGAAAATAGTATGAAATTCCAAGCAACTGTTCTGTTTCAATTATGTTTTCCTGTGTTTTTCAAAGCATTTTCACCTCAATAATGAAAATATGCTCCATATTTGATATGGCTGCAATAACTGTGAAACAGGGACGATTTAAGATGATACTTGTAATAGTCTCTTTTGGGACTGAAAAAAAGCTACCCTGAAAGGCAACCAAATCAGAGAAAAATGCTTTGACCTAGGAATCCCAATAGTGACTAACCATGAATATGCAGCTTGTTATAGATGGGATCATCTATATAATGATTTTTTTTTTAAAATTTCATCATACTTTTTTGAAAATTTTAACATTTGTTAGTTAGATACAGAAAGTACCGGTACCTTATCCCGGCCTCGATAAACATTAGATTGTATATATAAATATAAACTAGTTAGTAATTGTTAGTATTCTAAATTATGAAATATACATTACTATATTATTATGTATCCATTATTTCCATATTGTTCAATAAAGAGAGAACTATATTTCAGAGAGAAAGAAAAGACAGAAGAGAAAATAATAAATAAATAAAAAGCAAAATAAAAAAAAATCACTGAAATTTGGTTTTTTGGCAGCAGTATATCGGTCAAAACTAGCGTGTGTCTTAAGATCCAACATTTAATAAATTTGTCATGGTTGGTTTTCTATTGTAAAAAATTCATACAAAAACAAACAAGCTATTACAAAACATACATGTGGTTATAGGCACAAAACAAGAACAAAAAACAATAAACAACATTATAACAATATAATATACATGTATGGTGGTGTGGAGAAGGCTAAAACAATGTACACAGTAACATTACATAGGGTAATGCTAATTTGTATAAGTGTAAATTAATCTAGTAATGGTAGCCAGGGTTCCCAGCAGAGGTTGGCAATGTGAAGAGGTTTTATTTTAAAAAATATATTCTTTTCTAGTATTAGATTTTCTTCGAGATAATTTTTTAGCCCTGTAAAATTTACTTGATTTTCACATAGTTTGGTTCTGTCAATAAAGAATTTTGATAATAGTATTATTATTTTTTTTATTTTATTATTTACTGTTTTTCCTAAATTTCCATATAATATTCTATACATGTTAAACGGAATTATTATTTGTGTTTGGTTATAAATCCAGTCAAAGAGTCTTGTCCACAGGTCTGCTATATTATGGCATGTCCAAAATATGTATTCAATATCTTCAATAGCTCATTGCAGAAAGTACAATTATCGCTTTGTTTTATTCTGATTTTAAATAAAAATTTATTTGTGCCCAAGATTCTGTGTATTATTCTATACTGGAACCAATGAAGTTTTGAGCTTTTTGTGGTGTAAAAAGACATATTATGCACGGTTTTCCAATCAAAATTTTTATTCAGTGTTAAGGACCATTTGTCTTCACAGCTAAGTTTAGTACTGTTTTTTTTCTAATAAAACATTATACATATCTTTTGAGCCTTTGTTTGATAAAAAAAATATTCTTATATTATTTGGAATAATTGGTCCTTGTGTTTTATAAAGATTGTTTATGGATATATTGTTCTTGAGAGCTTTTTTATATGATTTTATTGATGAAATTACCCCATTGTAAGTAAGAAAGTTTGACTTTAATTTTATAAATGTTTTGTAATTGTTAAGTCATTGAATTAGTTTTCCCTCATCATTTAATAGATCATTTATCAAAGAGATCCCTTTATCTGCCCAGTCTTTCTAGAAAATAGATGTTATTCCTATTTTAATATTTTCATTATTCCAGAGCGAATCTGATACATACGTGTCTTCATTTTTTGGTATACATTTATTTTGTAAATCTGTCCAAGCTATAAAGAAAAGGGTTTTTACATCTTTTTGTTGGGCCTAAATAAACTAGGTTTTCAATACTAATTTTTTCAGTACTTTCTAATAACTTATTTAGTTTTGGGTTGTTTTTTAACAACTGACTAATCCATGTTAATTTCAATCCTGTAATATATTTGTCAATATCTATCATTTTCAGCCCTGACCTAATTTATGTTCAAAACATAATATTTCTCTTTTTATCTTGTCAGGTTTGTTTTCCCAAATAAATGAATAAGTTTTATCAATTAGTTGTTTTAAAGTATTTTTGCATGGTGCTTGTAATGTTAAAAATAGATTGTTTAATTTTGAAATAATTAGTGTCGTGATGATTGTTATTTTTCCAACTGGTCTTAATGTTTGTTTAGACCAAATTTTTATTATATTTTCAATTTCTTTAACATGTTTAATTCTATGTAAAAAATATGAACTTTCATGAGTATATTGTCCATGTAGAATATATATTGGAACATTACATTCTAAATTACGACTGCAAAGTTTTGGATAAGGGATTCAACAGAAATTTCATTTGAAAAAAAATCAAAGGGAGATGAACTTTATTAGGCTATTATCATGATAAAAACCAGATCCAATTATATTAGCAAATCAATCATTTACTGATTAAGTGGTGAAAATATATAGCACTGATTGATTTTTTATGTTACTTATAAAACTTCTATAATGAAAGATCAGAACTTGCCTCATCAAAGAACCCTTATTAACAACAGAAAATAGCAAATAATAGAAGTGCAAAAAAGGAATAATAGACGCCCCAAGTCATCTGAACCTTTTTTTTATATGTTATTTCAGACTTTTAATAATCATAAATATTTATATCAGTAAAGCCTATGAATTTGATTTAATAAAACTTTACAGCTATTCAATAAATTAATCCAGCCCTTGACTTGAAATGTTTAGGGTTTGTACATTCAATGGTAGTTTCATTAAATGTTGGGATAAAATTTTGATAATGCACATCACATGACAGTAAAAATTCAACTATTTTATATTAGATTTCGCAGCCTTTTGAATATTCTATAACATGATCATTGGACAATTCACTTCTTTTAATAACTTTTCCTATTTAATCTTATATGTTTAGCATTTTGTTAAAGAACTGAAGTGTACGGTAACATATTTTTTTGCAACAGTTTTGGGATTTACATTTTACCAGGTGTACTACTTACTAGAAACACTTAATGAAGAAATAAAATTATAGTGATTGAGCAATCTGTATATCATTGTATATTAACAATTGCTTGTTCATGCAAAAACTTTTGTCAAGACCCACTTAAGATTTGTGAACCATTGTAAAAAAGAGAATCCAAATATTACAATGTGGCTCCTCATTTTAGCATGATCATTACTGTAAATGTGGAGGTGAATAACAATTTTTGTAAAGAACCTTCGGCTGTACTATCATGGTTTTAGTCAAAATAAGTAATAAAACTTATCTTCAGCACTAAGAATACATGTACTCAACGAAAAGGCTTAGTATTAAATATGCTTCAGAATACAAACTAAAAAATGGGAAAGATTGGTCAGTTGAATAAGTTTTGTTATTTTAAACTTTTTATTAGAACGAAAGCATCACTTGCATGTTATTATGAAATATAATAAAAATCTCATATTCTTGGTGGTTTTGTTTTGTTGAACAAGAAAAAATACGTACACATACATGTTCCTATGAATTATTAAGAACTGTGTTTTTTTTGTAGCATTACCAGACTCAATGGGCAGTAATGGAGATCAGTATTTTAATGCTACATTTAGTAGTGAACCACCTGTCCCAGACTTCCAGCCATTTAATGTAGGTTTATTGTTACATTGTAAAGTTATTGAAAAACCTACATACTATCATGTATTACAGGGTTTGTTAAATATGGCTTTTTAATGCATAAGAACTAGAAAGCTTTTCAGTTAAAATCTGCTATTGCAACAAACACCATGATATGATTAGAAATTTATGTGCATTGGCAGTTGATAGGATACCGTAAACTAGCTCAAAATGAAAACGGACGAAAAGGTACTCAATACAATATTCAATTTTTCTATACAAGTACATATTGATGTGGTTTTGAAACAATGATAGAGATGTGTGAGTAATGCCTTAATTGCTACCCTGTATAAATACACCACTTATACCCAGACCGTTGTTCTAAGAAAGTCTGTTTCTCAAGGTTGAATCTCATTTTACCTCGTGGAATATGAACTTGTGGGTAATGTCACCTGACCATTTCAACAGGGTGAAGAGGGTCGGAATAGAAAAATTGGTCAAATATCTATTAAAAGTTGAATTCTGTTAAATACATTCCATTTGGTTTATTCTTTTTGTAAGAAAGATTGGGCAGATATTTTGAAAAAAAATCACACAGTAAAAACAATTTTTTTCAACCTCAACATTGAAACTGCGCCTAACTTTGAATTCATGTATTAACATTTGTTCAAATAATGATTCAATGTACAGAAAATGTACATGCACAAATTTTTATAAGATCAGGTGTCTGGCTGAACCCTTTGAATTATTTTTTGAACTTTTTTTCAGCGGCAAAGAGGAATGGCAAGAGGACATAGAAATATGATGGGCCCAATGCCAGGGCCTAGGAACTTTGGTCCACCTGGCCATGGAATGAGACCAAGGATGGAAATGCCTAGAATGGATGTGCCTCCAGATCTTAGGGATGGACCATTACCTGGTCAAATGTATAATGAAGGTTATGGATCTAGGATTGATAGTCCAAAGTTTGATGGTCTAGGATCAAGAATAGATCAGGGGTTAACAAACGATTTTGCAGCTCTCAATCTGCAAATTCCTGGTAGTGGTTTAAAGGTATATTTTATGTCTGATAGCTCATAAATGCAGCATGCTATTTTTTTTTTACAATGGAAGTTACCAACTGATTTTAATAGGAAAGTAGTATGCATGAAATTATGTTATTTTTCAGAATTAGGTTTCTAAATGCATTTTATTACATTAATTCATTTAGAAAGACGTTAGATATTTCTTTTCCTCTATAACAAATAGTTTTATGATAATCTTAAATAACAACATATAAGTTTGATGGGCATAACATTAATTAATGTCCTGATTTTGAACAAGCTCAACATTATACTGTTATATCATGATCAGATGCCTTTTGTGTAACGGTGTATTTAATTCCAGTCTTTATTTATTCATGAAAAAATTGTTGAAATATTAGGTAACATATGATAGTTATAAATTGGTATGTATTGACACAGGAAATTGCTTGTATTTTAGGGGTCAAACCCAGGGGCAGATGAATTCATACCGAAGTCTGCAACATTAACTCATAGTGCTAGTTCTCCTAATTTCTCATCGTTCAACAATGGGCCAGTTGGTATGCCACCCATGTCTAATGCTGCACCTCATATGATGGATAATGGTCACATGGGAAATTCCGTGCCTGGAGGTGATATTCCAATGCCTGTCGGAGGCCCTATGATGTCCAACACACCACCACCTGCTCATTTAATGCCATCAGGCATGTCAGGTAAACATTTAAATAACAAAGAGACAGTTCTGCATTTCTTTTGAAGCATTTCATGATTTTTATACTTCATAACAAGTTCTGTAAAATCTAAACATTTCATTGTGTTATTGGTATATTTTTTTCGTCATTTCATAAAAAAAATCTATCAGTTTATTACATATTGATGTTGATGGCATAACTTTACTAGTGAAATAAGAAGTACAGTCATTTAGTTGCACTAGCTTTCCACAACCTTAAATTGTTCTGTTTAAACTAAGATTTAAATAAATATGATTATACACAGATAAAATAAATTGTGTTTATATTTTCAGGAGTTGTTTATTCGACAGCCAGTCCTAACAACAGTCCTCATTTGTCTCCAACAAACTCTCCTCTTATGATGAGAAGGACTGGTTCTCCATTAGCACCCATTAAACCAGGAACACCAAAGAAAAACCAAGCCAGCACCATTCAGGTAAAATATAAGAGAGGCAAAAGATTCCAAAGGGACATTCAAACGCATAAGTCAAAAATAAACTGACAATACCATGACAAAAAATGAATAAAGACCTAAATTCAGAATTTTTTTCATTTATTTTTGCAATTTCAGTTAACGCTGTATTGAATAAATCTATCAAAATTTAATATGCAAGTTTTTATTTTTGTGAAGCCTATCCCACTGCAATTTTTGCAATAGTTCAAACATTTAAAAATTTGAATTTGTTTAAACTAAAACAGAAGACCTGTCTAATCTGAATAAAATGTTCTGTCCCATATGGATTCTATTTAAACAGTTGTCACTATAATTACAGCCTCTGTTTATCTGAAGGTTTCCAATTCCAGGGATTTACCCTTAATGTTTGCAAGAAATATGATATAATTCATGACTAGTATGAATATCTAATTTTTCTTTTTTTTTCAGGAAAGTGTTGGTGGAACAACCTATTTCTACAATCCTGAAGATTATACTGTACAAAGGGAGGGCATTGTAAGTAGAAATAAAAGAATTTATTTTAAACAATCCTGAAGATAATACCATACAAAGGGAGGGCATTGTAAGTAGAAATAAAAGAATAACAATCCTGAAGATTATACTGTACAAAGGGAGGGCATTGTAAGTAGAAATAAAAGGATTTATTATAAACAATCCTGAAGATTATACTGTACAAAGGGAGGGCATTGAAAGTAGAAATAAAAGGATTTATTATAAACTACCCTGAAGATTATACTGTACACAGGGAGGGCATTGTAAGTAGAAATAAAAGGATTTATTATAACCAATCCTGAAGATTATACTGTACAAAGGGAGGGCATTGAAAGTAGAAATAAAAGGATTTATCTTAAACAATCCTGAAGATTATACTGTACAAAGGGAGGGCATTGAAAGTAGAAATAAAAGGATTTATTATAAACAATTCTGAAGATTGTACTGTACAAAGGGAGGGCATTGTAAGTAGAAATAAAAGGATTTATTATAACCAATCCTGAAGATTATACTGTACACAGGGAGGGTTATGTAAGTAAAATAAAAAGATTAATTTTAAACATTTGCATCTAGATCAAAGTCATAGATACTGAAGGAGCAGATGTAGAAAAGGAAATACTGGTCCATACATATTTTTATGCCCCCACTGCCATGCGGTCGGCATTAAGTGTTACCCTTGATTGTCCGTCCCAAAAGTATTTTCACATATTATAAGCAATCTTGGGCGGGGGCATTCGTATCCTCGGACACATTCTTCTTTTATTATGAAAAGCATTATCACAATACATCAAATTTCCACTGTATACTGTATATTGTCATTGATTTGTGTTTGCTTTGCACTACAACACAAACAATCTGTATGACAGCGAGACTATATTGTGATATTTGTATTGAAATTATCAGGCTTCTAAAATTGTAAAATATCAAAAAGTCATAGTAGGTAGCTAATTTGTGTGTGAGCATATTAAATGAACACAAAAGTTGGAAGATAGCAAAGGTATTGTATTTTCGTGATGGAAGCATCAACATCAGACATGAAAGATAATAAAATTTGATGCCACAAAAGCAAATATGTGGAAAAATAGCTTAAGATATGGTATTAAGGGGAAACTATTCCTGTGTTGATTAATGCATTTAGTAATAATTTGTAGCAAAAATACATACTTTTATTTATTTCAGCAAATACCAAATTTTACCATGTTTCCAAGTATACCTCCACATGTGGCACACATGACAGTGAAGAAAAACATGCCACAGTTCTTCATGTGTGATGAACTTAAAATGGTAAGAAAATAAATCACCTTTATTGAACAATATTTTTCCTTAATAATTTTTCAAACCATGATACTCAACAGTGCCATAAATTTATTCCCTTCAGAAAATTGTCAGAGGAAAGCAGTTAATATTAGGAGATAACCAAATGAATTATAAGAAAATTTATTATTTCTGAATATATTTTTACTGGAAGTTCTTGTAAAGCAATACTTGTAATTATACTGAATGAAATAGATAGGAGAGGATTTGAACCACTGGAATAGGTCACTTTTCTTAGCTTCATGATATATGATAAAAGTGGAGAAATTAAGATGTATCTGAAACTAATCAGATGTTTATTTTTTTTCTTAGATGCCATTGAAACTGCAGTCCAAAATGCATCAGATATTTGTCAAATCTAGTTATCTCTCCATAAAATAGCTTTGGTGGACTTCATCTGTTGTCTGCACTTTGTTCGGGTTGTTGTCTCTTTGACATATTCCCACTTTCCATTCTCAATTTTATTAGGTAGATTTTTTGTCAAAAGTATGATAGGGTCTATGTAGTTGTGTTATTCAAAATATATGAAAGTGTGTACTTATTGGTCACAGAATAAATACAATTTATGAAACTTGCAGTTCTGAGACATTTTAAAAATGTTATTTTCAGACTATATCATACAACCTTTGTTTTATACTGTTTATAGAAATGTGAAAATTTATATTTAATTTATGGTCTATTGTATTTTAGGACATATTAAACAGGCATTCTATGACATTGGCACAAATAGATCTGCAACAAAACCCAGGTAAGTCAGAATGTCAAGAAATGCTTGTACAACTGTGTGTAGACTGCTAGACTTTGTTAAACCCGCCATATATTGATGTCTTGTGAAAGTCGTGAACCATATATATTTCATTGCAAAATCATAACCCATTCATGTTTTATGTATATTTCTAAGTTATCAATTTTTAGCTCACCTGGCCCAAAGGGCCAAGTGAGCTTTTCTCATCACTTGGCGTCCGTCGTCTCCGTCGTCGTCGTTAACTTTTACAAAAATCTTCTCCTCTGAAACTACTGGGCCCAATTTGACCAAACTTGGCCACAATCATCATTGGGGTATCTAGTTTAAAAAATGTGTCCGGTGACCCGGCCAACCAACCAAGATGGCCGCCATGGCTAAAAATAGAACATAGGGGTAAAATGTAGATTTTGGCTTATATCTCTGAAACCAAAGCATTTAGAGCAAATCTGACATGGGGGTAAAATTGTTTATCAGGTCAAGATCTATCTGCCCTGAAATTTTCAGATGAATCGGACAACCCGTTGTTGGGTTGCTGCCCCTGAATTGGTAATTTTAAGGAAATTTTGCCATTTTTATACGACCGCAAAAAAATTTTGAGGTCGTATATTGGTATGACGTTGGCGTCGTCGTCGTCCGGCATCGTCGTCCGAATACACAATGGTTTTCGCACTCTAACTTTAGTTTAAGTGAATGGATCTCTATGAAATTTTACCATAAGGTTCAATACCACAATAGGAAGGTGGGGATTGATTTTGGGGGTTATGGTACCAACAGTTAAGGAATTAGGGGCCAAAAAGGGGCCGAAAATAAGCATTTTTGTAACTTCCAGACATAACTTGTGTGTTAGCATATGGATCTCTTTGACATTGTACCACAAGATTCCATATCACAAAGGGTCAATGCTGGGATTGATTTTGGGGTTAATTGCCTCAAAAATTTAGGAATAAGGGGCCAAAAGGGGGCAAAAAACAAGCATTTTTCTAGTTTCATGACAATAACTTGTGTGTAAGTGTATGGATCTTTCTGAAATTTTACTACAAGGTTCCATTTCACAAAGGGAAAGCTGGAATTGAGTGTTGTGGTAATTGCCCAAAACGTTTAGTAATAAGGGGCCTAAAAAGGGGTTTAAAATAAGCATTTTTTAGTTTCTAGACAATAACTTGTGTTCAAGTGTATGGATCTCTCTAAAATTGTATTACAAGGTACCATATCACAAAGTCAAGGCTGTTATTGAGCTTGGTTTGGGGGGAAAGGGGGGTGGGGGTGATGAATCATAAGGGGGGCGGGGGTCAAAAAAGGGGTAATTTTTTTTTTTCCTTTTTTTTTTGTTTAAAATTTACATTTTAAGTTAGTTATTTTTTATCACGAAGAGAAAGTAGGAATTGAGTTTTGGGGTTAATTGCTCAAACATTTATGAATAAGGGGCCAAATATTGGTCGAAAATAAGGATTTTTTTAGTTTGCAACAAAAACTTGTGTTCAAGTGTATGGATCTCTGTGAAATTGTATTGCAATGTACCATACCACAAATTGAAGGTTGTGATTGAGGTGGGGGATGATGAATCAAAAGGGGGTTGAAAAAATGTGTGGGGGGTAGGATTTTTTTTTTTCCTGTTTTTTTCTTTAAAATTTTCCATTTAAAGATGGTTGTTTCAGATTTATATATGAAAGAAAATAATAATGATACGGTTATATATCATGAGGAATTGAAATTTAAAATTATGTATATTGGAAATTTAGGTTACATTGGAAAGTAATAATTGGCTTTGGGGGGGGGGGGGGGGGGGGTTATGGCTCTAATGTTTAAGGAATAAGGGGAAAAAAGGTTAAAAAACAAGGGTTTCCATTTTAATAGACAAATAATTGAGTAAAGAACATTATTTAAAAGCAGTGTAAGGTTGGTAATTCAAACTCATTTAAATATCTCATCTACACTGCTTTTAAATTATGTAAATTGGAAATTTGCCAATAACTTTATTGTTAATAAATGCATTGGAAATTTGCCAACAATTTTAGTGTAATAAACTTCATTGGAAATTTGCCAATATAAAATTTTGCTGATGAAGGTTTTTTGTTTACCTTTAGCCTTGACTATGAAGTCATTTTCTATTTTTATAGCCTTATGGTGTAGTTGAATTATTTAATACTTTTATGATGTGTTTAAATGGGGTTTTATCATGTTTATGGTTGCAAATTTATTGTTTTAGTATAATAAACTCCATTTAAAATTTGCCAATAAAAAAAATTTTTGTTTATTTTTAGCTATGATTATGATGTCATTTTCTATTTTACTTTTATGGTTGCAAAGAAATTTTTATTTTTAGATATTACTGTTAAATGATGCTGATTAAGGTTTTTGCTATGTTTAGCCATGACTATGATGTCATTTTCTATTTTAATATCTGTTATGATGTATTTAAATGGGCTTTTATGGTTACAAAGGAATTTTATTTTTAGATATTACTATAAAATGTTGCTGATGCTGATTAAGGATTTTGTTTATTTTTAGCCATGACTATGATGTCATTTTCTATTTTAATACCTTTATGATGTAATTTCCATTTTTAGATATTACTGTTAAATGATGCTGATTAAGGGTTTTTTGCTATGTTTAGCCATGACTATGATGTCATTTTCTATTTTAATATCTTTATGATGTATTTAAATGGGCTTTTATGGTTACAAAGGAATTTTATTTTTAGATATTACTTTAAATGTTGCTGATTAAGGATTTTTGTTTATTTTTAGCCATGACTATGATGTCACTTTCTATTTTAATACCTTTATGATGTATTTAAATGGGCTCCCATGTATTTAGATTTTTGATTATTTATACATGTTACCAAATTGGTCCACATTGAACAAAAACGGTCCAAATTTCAACTTTATTACATTACATCAAACATTGAATTCTACATATTCTTTGATATATTGAAATTAACAAACAATTTAGTTTATGGATATTCCACCATAATAGGTAAATTAAATTTTTTCCAGTTCTTACACCACATTCATCCTGTGTCAGAAACCTATGCTGTGTCAAATATTTAATGACAATCCAAAGTCATAGCTGTATCAAGCTTGAATTTTGTGTCCATACTTGCCCCAACTGTTCAGGGTTCGACCTCTGCGGTCGTATCAAGCTGCGCCCCAGCGAAGCATTTTATTGGTTATTATCTTGAATATTATTATAGATAGAGATAAACTGTAAACAGCAATAATGTTCAGCAAAGTAAGATCTACAAATAAGTCATCTTGACCAAAATGGTCAGTTGACCCCTTAAGGAGTTATTGCCCTTTATACTAAATTTTTAACCATTTTTCATAAATTTTTGTAATCTTTTACAAAAATTCTCTCCTCTGAAACTACTAAGACAAATTTAACCAAACTTGTCCACAATCATCATTAGGGTATCTAGTTAAAAAAATGTGTCCGATGACCCTGCCTGCGAACCAAGATGGCCGACATGGCTAAAAAATAGTACATAGGGTAAAATGCAGTTTTTGGCTTAATCTCTGAAACCAAAGCATTTAGAGCAAATCTGATGAGGATAAAATTGTTCATTAGGTCAAGATCTATCTGCCCTGAAATTTTCAGACCAATCAGGCAACACGTTGTTGGGTTGCTGCCCCTGAATTGGTAATTTTAAGAAAATTTTGCAGCTTTTGGTTATTGTTTTGAATATTATTATAGATAGAGATAAACTGTAAACAGCAATAATGTACAGCAAAGTTAGATCTACAAATAAGTCAATTGACCCCTTAAGGAGTTATTGCCCTTTATAGTCAATTTTTTACAATTTTCATAAATTTTGTAAATTTTTGTTAATTATTACAAAACATTTTCCACTGTAACTACCGGGCCAAGTTCATTATAGATAGAGATAATAGTAAGGAGCAAGAATGTTCAGTAAAGTAAGATCTACAAACACATCACCATCACCAAAACACAATTTTGTCATGAATCCATCTGTGTCCTTTGTTTAATATGCACATAGACCAAGGTGAGCGACACAGGCTCTTTAGAGCCTCTAGTTGACATCTTAATTTTATAAATAAAAAAAAGAATAAAACAGTATATATACAGATAATTGAAAGATGAAAATTACTGACCTATTACCTTGGTGAAATTGCATCTCATTGATATATTTGACATTGAAAAAGGTACCCATTATACTCTGGATTCATTTATTTTCGTGGGTATCAATTTTCGTGGATTGTGAAAATCTTGCATTTTTGTGGATATTTGATTTCGTGGTTATGCTGATCTCTGCATACAAAGCCTATAGAAAATTTGTAATTCGTTGAACATTTGAATTCGTAGTTCACATGTACCCACGAAATCCACGAAAATTGGTATCCAACGAATAATAATGAATCCACAGTAGATGCATGTCTGTGTATACCTTCATATAGGAAGAGAACAAACTATCTCAAGTCTATATATTGTATGCAATAACTCCATACCAACAATTGTGTTACAGATATCCCAACAGAAGTAGATAATTATCATCATTTGTTTCCATTGGAGCCCCCTCCACCAAGTTCAATGCAGAAATCAAACAGATTTAGTTACCCCACCACTTGTTATAAAGCTGTCAATACCAAAGATGGCCTCACATACTGTCTACGTAGAATTCATGGTAAGTTACAATTAACAGTTGTGTGACATAAAGCTGGCCCCATACTCTGTCTACACGGAATTTATGGTAAGATCTTATTAACAGATACATGATATAAAAAAGCAAAGTAGTCTCACATACTGTCTTCATAGAATTCATGATTTTATTTAATGATAAAATGGAAAAATCCTGTAAATTGATCTGAAAGGAAATGGAGTTATATTTTGACTGTAGGTAATCCCAAGGCCATATAAAGAGATAGAATCCTGTTTTGACTAAGATTACCTTTAATGACTTACTGATAACCAATTAATTTTTGCTAGCAAATTATTTACATAACTTTCACGAGTAGAGAAATAAGGCAGATATAAATTGTAATGAAATATCAAACTTGTGTCTTCTTTATGAATATATCAACAAAGTAAGAAAATCACAAATTAACCAGAAGTCGACTTGAAAGGGCTTAATGCAAGTAAAGTATCCTGGTTTACAATAGAAGAAAAAAAACTGGAACTATACTATTTAAAAATAAAAGAACAGAGTTCCAATGTCCCCTGCGTTGCACATATTTTATCTATCCAAGGTACACATGGTACAAGGGCAATAACTAAAAAACACTATTTTTTGTTCTTTTAAACTTTTATAGAGAAATGAAGGCTTCAGAGCAAATGCAATGTGATTTCTGTTATAATTAATATTTCCAAGGGGCATAACTTGTTAAAAATATTTGACCAGCACTTATGTTCGAAAGTGTCAAAGACATTGCTGATATAAGTTTCATAAAAATCTGGCAAGAATTGTACACATGAGAGTGCTAACGATGCAGTTTTCTATATAATTAATGTTTCCAAGGGCATAACTCTTTTAAAAATAATTCATCAGCACTGACTTTCAAAATCGTCCAAGACATTGCTGATATAAACCTATGATATAAGTTTCATAAAAATCTGGCAAGAATTGTACATGTGAGAGCCCTAACAAGACTGGATGGACGGACGGAAGCATGGTATTTCTATGTCCCCTGCAATGAGTTGCGCAGGGGACAATCAATGTTTGAACTGCTTTCTTCAATTTTGAGTAATCAGCAATTTTGTTTATCTTTGACAGGTTTTCGATTGTCAAATACAAAGTGTATGATGATAATAGACATGTGGAAAAAAATGTACCATCCTAACATAGTACAACTGAGAGAAGTTTTTACTACTAAAGCATTTGGTGATAATTGTAAGTATAACAAGCTAATGGATGTGATTTGAATTTGAATATAGACACATATTGCTAAATATCACTGTTATATCTGATCTTGAGTATTCCATCCCAACATTTTTTTAATGTTTTTATTTGTTGTTCCAGAGTAATTATATGAATGGCGTTGTTTTTTAGTTTATGTATCAGGCTTAGTAATGGAGGTCCATACTGAAATGAGTTGACCTTGACCTTTGTTACTAATTACAAGAAAAATAAAATAAATAGCAGACTGGAGGACTCTCTGTTTACAACTGCTCCATTTCATTTTTTTTTTTTTAAATTACTGGCAAATATATTAAAATGGCATATAATTGTTTACAATTGATTATACATCTCTATTTTTTTAAACCATTATGGTTATTTTGGTCCCATTTGTCAACACTTAATACAAGAAGCAAACACCGCGAATCTTTTATTTTGATTTTAAAATTACAGCAATAGTATTTGTGTATGATTTCCATGCCTGTGCGGAGACTTTGATGGGTAGACATTTCAATAATCCTGGATCTATTAATGGTTACAACCAGTCATTCAATATGGATGGAAGTTCAAGGTCATACAACTCCAGTGGAAATGGCAAAGGTCAGTAATGTATACTTTTTACTGTTAAAAGTATTTGCACATAAATAAATATGATAAAAAGGGTGGGAGAACATACCAAAGGGGGCACAAAAAACATTTATCAAAGAAAAACACACACCACCATGGCCAAAAGAAAAAATGACCTACAAAACACTACTTAAACTAAGATTAAACAACACAAACAGCCCAAAATTTATATGTAAATGTATGAAATAATTACATAATAAATGTAAATGTTTGAAATAATTACATATTAAATGGAAAAGTTTGAAAACAATAAATGATAAATCCACAGTAAATTAGATCTAGGATATACCATGATAGCAGTTGTCACCATAGAATCTTACAGGTTACCATGGAAACAAGTAGTGGTAAGGATGAAATTGAAATTATTCAATAATGGGAAATCTTAAATACGCTTTGATTTGGCTTTAGTCTGACTGGACTTTTTAACCTTTTCACAATTTGATTGAATTTTATTTATTTACTTTGTTGACAGGAGGAGGAGGAGGTGCCAACACTCCCCGCCAGCATGCAGGTTTATTACCTGAAAGTTTGATATGGGCATATGTTGTACAATTGAGTTCTGCTCTGAGGGCCATACACGCTGCTGGCCTTGCCTGTAGAACTATGGACCCAACCAAAATTCTTATCTACAGCAAGTCACGGTTACGGTTGAATTGTGTTGGCATCATGGATGTGTTGACATTTGACAATAACCAGGGCAATCCGTTAGCAATGATGCAGCATTATCAGGTCAGTATATTTTGTTGAAGTTTGAGAAAAACTTAAGTTATCATTATTAATTTATTGAAGTACTGTAAACATGAAAACGATTAGTTTGCCCTCGATACCAATATTGTGGCTAATGGTGCAGTGTGTTATTTTCATTTATTATACTTCATGTCAAAATGCCAGATTTTGATTGGTTAATACGAGGGAGACAATTTACTCTATCCCATGGCAAGTACTCTATTACCATTCACGGAGACGCTTGATCAAGTGTGCGCTTTAATAAATACGGTTGATTGTTATGTACAAGACACCATAGTTTATTACTTTGAATTTGAAATTTAATAGACAGTAATAACAGAACATTCAGTATAATAAATTAAATAACACTTAGCTTCTTCTCAGTTGACAATGTTTTCTCGGGGTAACAATCTGCTCTATCACCCTCTTAGCTATGTGTTATTTATATATTATTTCCCAATTTTGTAATATCTGTGAAAATATCCCCTATGCAAATAACTAGTTTTAAAAAGCAAAAATATTGGTTTGAAAGGCAAACTAAATGTTCACTAGGCAAATTTAATCCTTGAGCAAAAAGTTTATGCTTGAAATTGTAAAAATAACATGCTGCAAAATTTTCTACTTTTACAGGAATAAATTATTTGTAAGAAAAAGTTGTAACATATTTATCTGACACTAACTGATGTATTATGTATTGTTAATTTTCAGCAAGAAGATTTGGTGTTCCTTGGAAAGGTTGTGCTAGCTTTAGGCTGTAACAGTATCATGGCCATACAACGGGACAACTTTACATCCTCCATGGAACTTGTAGCACGCAATTATTCAGCAGATCTCAAAAATTTCTTCGTGTCGGTTTAATTTTCAAATTATTTTTGTTATGATATATATAATTGCAGTACTCAATGTTTGTAAAAATTCTGTTAATTACCTAATTCCTCATGGCATCAAACTAAAATTCCTTTAAAATAATTTGCTTTTTCAATTATTTTAACTATTTTAAACTTTAAAATTTTTAAATTCAGAAATTATTGCAATGTTTTTAAAAAGGCGATGATATAAGCTTAATATTAACTAGACCTACATTTTAAATTTGATCATGATTGTATGTCCCATTACTAGAATTGCATTTATTTAATCTTGTTGTACACTTCAATCAATAATTGCATTATCAAATGTGCACAATAATTTCTGAATTTATGACGGTTCCTTGTTATATCCCCACAAGTGATATCAACAAAAAGTGTGTAATCTAATAATGGGCTGTCCATCCATCATCACAATCTATCTGTAACTCCTACTGAACTTGTCTTTAGAATGCAATTCAATTTTCAGAAGATCCTAAAAACTAATGAAATTAACTCTTCTTAAGAACTTAAAAACTATGTTCTATATTTAAATTTTTACTTGAATAGTTTGTTGTTTTGTTTTGTATCACATTAGTAAAAAAAGACATGAAGAAGATCTTTTTTTTGGTCAGTGAAAAAATAGTTTTACGTTAATGTTTTGTAAACATGCATAGAAGCATTGATATTAAACATTTTTGTACATTGTGTTGATGTACTTGGAAGTTACATGAGTAAATTTCAGTATGACTAAATCTGTTTTTCATTTGTAGGTATCTGTTAACCAATTCTAACCGACCACGAAGTATTAACGATATTATGCCTATGATTGGTGCCAGATTTTATACACAATTAGACGCAGCCCAGCTTAGAAGTGATGTGATGGATTCAGAGTTATCTAAAGTAAATATTGAGGGAAAATTTCTTCATGTCTTCCAGTATGAAAAACTTGGGGGCATGGGACAGCACTATTTTTAGATCCTAACACCCCATATTATGAAATTTTCATTTTACTTATAATTCTTATAATATTCATAGGAAAATGCAACCACCCACAATCAATAAATTTGTGTGCCTTCCATCCCCCTACCACAATATATTTTGGACAGAACTGAGTTATTGATGGCTGATCCATTAAAACACACATGATACCCATTGAAGGTACCTGTCTTGTATTACAACTCCAGTTTCCGGTGCATGTCAAAACATGGTGTGAAATAAAATAATCCATTTTTTTCTGGACTCAATTTATTCTGTTTGATTAAAAGTTTATGCAAAATTGAAACATATATTTAGATTTAAAAGAAAATATTGCATCTTTTTGGGATATCAAACCAGGAAAGTGGAAGGATATCATGTTTACTGGAAGTGGTGTGGCCTAGTAAAAACAGAAAGTAGAAAAAATTAGCAAAATACATTTAATATCAGTATGATGTAAAGTAACAATTATTATACGGCCGATTACGGTACGTATTATGGTATACCCTCGTCTGTCTGTCCCTCCGTCGTCAACATGTCGGACAATAACTCAAAAATGGTTTAACCAATTTGCATGAAACTTTGGTGAATTTTTTATATATATTGATGTGAGCTCCCTTTCGATATTTATAAATTTTGGATTTTACGTTCTGAGTTATGGGGTTTTACTCTTTTAAAAATTCGTAAGGGTTCCATGGAACCCAGTGTCTCGCCTACTTTTGATGTTAATCACAGGCTCAACAAAAATGAGGAAAAAAATTAATAAAAATATTCCTCTCTATACTATCTTTTGATTGTAAGTAGCTTCTGTCCAAGTTTGGTAAAAATCCAGTATAGTTTATGAATCTAATAAATGTTTTAAAAACTTAAACTGCAGACTGTATGTATGTAATGTTAACTGGAAGAAAAACTAACTCCATTTATAAGTAAAATACGGAAAAAATGGATTTTTTTTTTACAAAATTTACTTCTGAATATTACCTTATGATCATAAACAAGCTTCTGTCCAAGTTTAGTAGAAATCCAGGATAGTTTAAGAAAGTTATTAAAATTTCAAAAACTTTAACCACAGAGTGAATATTTGTGGACGCCGCCGACAACACCGACGGAATGTAGGATCGCTATGTCTCGCTTTTTCGACAAAAGTCGAAGGCTCGACAAAAAGGGAGATTTTCCAGTTTTCAGACAATAACTCAAAAATGCTTTGAGCAGTTTTTATGAAACTTTGTTGACTTGTTTATAATTATTGAAATAACCTCCCTTTAGTTTTTTTATAAATTTCTGATATGACATTGAGGAGTTATGGAACTTTATTCTTGTTAAAGCAATGGGCGTATTTATTTTTATCAATTATTAATTTTTCTTTTTGTAGTCCGTAGAAAATGGCAGATTATTTCGGTTGTTATGTAAACTGGGTACAATCAACGAGAGGAAAGAGTAAGTTTAAATAAACACACTAGCATCTGTTTTCCAGTCTAAATTTGTTAAAGTATGAAATAATAGACATTTCTTGATTTATACAAATATACACTGTATTGCAGAAAACCAAAATATGCTTTCAAGTTCATGTGAAAATTAGTTTAAAAATGTTATTCTAATTGAGAGATACATACTTCTTTAAAAGGTAAAGATTGATTAATTGATGTCTTCATAAAGTAGTAGCAAATATAACATGCATACTCACAAGAAAAAAGGTGAAACAGAGATCTGTAAAGACTGTAAAAAAGTTTAAAAGAAAACAATACATTTCAAAATGATTTATAATGTTTTTGTGTTAATTTTGCTAAAAAAATTATTTGTTTTGTCTTATCGTTCACTTAAAGCATTTATTAGATGTGGTATGAGTGCCAATGAGAAGTTCTCCATCCAAGTCAAAACTTATAAAAGTAAACCATTATAGGTCAAAGTACGGTCTTCAACACAGAGCCTTGGCTCACACCGAACAGCAAGCTATAAAGGGCCCCAAAAAAATTACTAGTGTAAAACCATTCAAACGGGAAAACCAACGGTCTAATCTATATAAAAAACGAGAAACAAGAAACTCTTATGAACCACATCAACAAACGACAACTACTGAACATCAGATTCCTGACTTAGGACAGGTGCAAACAATTGCAGTGGGTTGAAACGTTTTAATGGTACCAAACCTTCACCCTTATCTGAAGCAATAGTGTAACATCACAACATAGAAAGACACACTATAAAATATCAATTGAAATGGCTTAACTCGATCAAAAGACATATTAACACCAGTGAACATACACTGAACAAATAAATTTGATCTATGATACAATGTAAATACAAAATAAATGGCTATAAATTAAATGAAAACATAAATTGTTTCAGGTTTCAGATGGATCCTCAATGGTCAGAAACAGGTGACCGATACATGTTGAAACTTTATCGTGACTTTTTGTTTCACCAGCATGATGCTAATGGTGCTCCCTGGATTGACATGGCACATATCCTTCAGTCTCTAAACAAGGTAAAAATAGGAAAAGATTGGATATTTTATTTTTGTAAATTATCTTTAAATACTCAAGTAAAAATTAATGAAAATTAATCTGTAATCTACTGTGTACATTTCCTCTAAACACTGCTACTATATTTTGATCCATATACATGTACCAACCGAGAAATCTCCACTGGATAATATCTTGATAAAGAGCATCATATACAAATATCTTGAATAGACAAATGTATGCCATCAGAAACATAAAATCTTTAACTAAAGAAAGCAGTCCAAGATAAACTCTTGAATATGGAAGAAGAGCCGTAATTTTTTGCAAATTTGTTTCCACACAAATTCATGTAATGAGTTGGGTGTAAGATGTTATTAAGATCTATGATAATACTTTGTGAAAAAGCAATTTAATTGATAGATCTAATAGTTGATGGATTGACTGGTTACAATATGTAGGGAATCTGTGATTTTGACTAAATGATTTATCTCTTGTTATGGCCCTTAAGGATTTTACTAACAAGCAACAGGCCACAGTTATACAAGCCAAATTTTGCCTTATTGCTGTAAAAGCAAAATAAAGCTGCATTTGAAGTTTGCTTTTAATAGGGGCTTACTTTCAAATTTTTATGCTCCTTTCGTCTATTAAGTGTTACCCTTGACCTTCTGTCTTTCTGTCCGTCCGTTCGTCCCATTTTTGTTGCAAAGCTTGAGCTGAGGCATTCATGTCCTCAGACACATTCTTCTTTTATTTTATTATCAATATCCTTCAAATCTGCAACAGTTTTTTTAGTCAGTACATGTGCCTGAGAAAAATGAAGAATACATGGGCCTATACTAATGTGCTACTTAGGCCTCAAAGTCACCTATACAAGCCAGACTTTGCTTTCTTATTGTTGTAAGAGAAAAGTAAAGTTGCCTTGGTATTTGCTTTTAACAATGGATTGCTTTTTGTCTCGCCTTGACGGAGTCAAAAAGCGAGACATAGGTATGCTGTTTCCGGCGGCGGTGTCAACAATGTATTAGTTTGTGATTACGTCTAGTTCATGGTGAACCACAAGTGTTAGGTCAATGATATTTGGTTTGCAGTTGTATAAGCATTGGCACATCTCTTTTCCATGGAGATTATTTGTCCCTGCCCCCTCAGTCATGGTCTATTGACTTTGAAACTTTTGCTTAGTTTACATGTACTAGTTTGTGATTAGATCAGTTTAAGATGAACTGCTAAATTGCTAATGTTAAGTCAATGATATTTGGTATGCAAATTTATTGGCATTTGCAAGTATCATTTCCATGGAGATTTTATAGACCCACCCCCTCATCATGGTTCATTGACTTAGAAACTTTTACATAGTTTGTGTTTGTTTAAAGGGAACGACTTATAATAAGTCAATGGTATTTGGTATGCAGTTGTATTAGCATTGGCACATCTCATTTCCATGGAGATTGTTTAGCCATGCACATTCAGTCATGGTTCATTGACTTTGAATATTTGCATCACTTACATGTTAAAGTATTGCTATTTTAATTTTATCATTTGCATTATCAAAATTACAAAAAGGCGAGACATATCTCTGTGATAATAGTTTATTATTTAATATATCCGTATATTTGTGGCAGTTTATTTAGTCGGAAAACATGCCTGAGAAACATGAAGGAAAAAGCAGAAAGTAAAATGGTATATAGTGGATTCATGACAAACACAAAATCATACAAAACAAATGTTATCAGACCTCTTATGTTTGAAGGATATTTTTGTCATGAGTTATACTGATTTTTTTAATAACTATTTTTTTCAGTTGGATGGTGGTACACCAGAAAAGATTTGCCTTGTTTCACGTGATGAAAATAGTGTTCTAGTAGTGACATACGCTGAATTAAAACAAAACTTTGAGCGAGCATTCAGTGACTTACTGACAGCTAGTGAATCACAGAGCAATGCCTTCACGTAGGAATATATTAAGATCTTATAGTTACGGAATATAGATCTCAATACCAGAACAACTTACACATATTTAAACCAGTGTTTTCTGTGAAAATCAATTTCCTTGGAACTGAATGGGATTTTTTTTTCAAAAATTCTTTTCAGTATTAAAAAAATATTATGTTCATACATTTTATATGTATTTTGTGGATTGACTTGATTATTTAAATAAGTTTTCCAAACCAAAAAGAAAGAAGAAAGAAATTATTGTTAGTATGTGTTCATTCCATCTAAAGGAAAATTTGAATAATCAAAATTGGAATTATTCTTGTAGACATAATGAAATAGACATTGTGTGCAATGACAGTGATTGTACATTGTGAATTTTGACATGGAAAGTGCTTTCTTGTGATATAGACACATTGTTACTATGACAATTTGTTGCTATGACTACAGACTACATGTTTTTGTTACTTGTTGATGTTTGAACAAGGCAGCACATGCTAAAGAAATGGAGTTCCTGCTTAACTTATTTTGACTCCATTCCTAACTTATAAGATTGTTGAATATTTTAAACTATTATTGACTATTTTTGTTCTGTCAAATGACATTTTAATTTGTACAGAATCTATATTAGTAAAAAATGTGTCGTAGATTTATAATCTTGACAAAAAAATGAAAAGAAATATTTTGAATATGAATTTTCTACTTTCATAATCATGCAGATTTGTCTCCACGGTAAAACAAGGGCATTTTTTGTAATTTATTTATTGTAATCATGTCAAGGTCATAACCTTTCACCTTTCTAAAGAACAGAGAAATTATAAGGTGATAAGGTAACAACATTACTTTATTTATTTATTTTATTTAAAAAAATTGTCTTGTTATCTTGGCATTCTGGACATGTGGACCATTTTTTTTTTACACACTTAGAAATTCACAGATAAAATTTAAAAACATTTTAAAAACTGCTTGCTAAAATAAATTAAACTTTAACATTGTCGATCTATAAAGATAAAATCAACTCTTATTTTTACTTGATTAATTTATAAAACTATCTCTTTAGGCCATGTAAAAGAAACCTATTGTTTCTTGTTCCTGCTCAGGTTTGATTCTGAATCACCCAGTTTATAGTTTCTCTTACAATTTTTATTGTTAAAAGTATGCTCCAAAAAATACTATTTGAAAGTTAAATCAAGATGAGACACCAACAAATCTTACAGTATTAAAGAATCTAAACATTGAATTCAATGGTCTTTTGTGTTGCAGTCACATTGTTTCTTTTGTCAGACCTTAATTGGACAAGTTTTATAGGGATAACCATGTAATTCTTTCTATCAATTTTTATTTCTCTTTTTTTTTATGATTTTGAAGTTAGAAAATTTTAATTCTTGTTTATTTATACAAATTTTTAATGATGACAATGGTTATTTGAGAAGTACACAGGATTTTATAATGGTGATATCTTTCTAAATGCTACTTATAGTCAGCATAAGGATTATAAATTTAGCATGGTAAAAAGATACTTTGTTTTATGAATAAATGAGATACAGGTACATTACAATGAGAGAGCAGTTTAACAAAAAAAAGGTCACATGACATATCAATAATGCAGTCTCTCATGCTTTATGTAGTTTAGTAATTTGATAAATTTTCCAGAAAAAAATACATATCAAAATATAATTTTATTTGAAGATAATTAAAGTGTATATGATGTGACTGTCAGATATGTTTCATATTATACTAATGTTGAGACCATGTTTCATGTCTATCACACCCAATAGTAATATCACTGCAGAGACATTTTTTTATTTTTATTTTCTCTAATACAAAGATGATAGAAAACCAATTACAGGTTGATATACCAGTAGCTGCATCTGGCATGTTTTTTGTTATTTCAATTGTAAACAATGAAAAAATATGAGGACAGTACTTGCACAAAAAAAATACTATCTTTATTCTGATCTGACACTGAATCTCTAGGGTATGTGTTTTTTATAGTCACATGGTAGTATTTGCTAGGGAACCCAAATTCATAGTGTTGTTGTTAGATATAATGGAATTTAGATGGTAGAAATCTGAATAGCACATCATGGTATAACATCTTGCACATGAATACAAGAGGGTTAGGGTCAAATTACCCTTACCAGGACTAATTTCATTGACATATTACAAACAGAGTTTGTATGTTGATAACTTAGACAATTCTGAACTTGTTATGAATTCTTGAAGGTCAAGGATAGACCTCCCCATCATTGTAAAGTGATTGTACCATTATTTGTTTTAACATGGAAAAAACCCAAATTTTAGAATAATATAACTTATTGTTAGATAAGTATTAATAGAGCTGCTTTCTTCAATTGTTTATAACGGTATATTTACAGAAGGTTTTAAACATTGAACCTTTATTATGGTGAATATTGAGCATGTATAAGGAAAGCTGTTTCATTATAAAATCCTGTGTACCATTCTCCCGTCTTCCTGTGATGAGACAAGATATTGCATGTGATGTACAATTGAACAATGTTAAAACCGTCTATGATGGAAATGACATGTAAAATATTTATACAATAAAATGTGCAATAGTGTGTTGTCTATCTTTTTTTGCCAGATGTCTGGATTGAATAGTGAAGATTTTTATATGATACAGAATTCAGTATTCAGCCAGAAATACTATCAGGTGCACGAGCATAAAGCAATTTACTTGACATCTTTTTCTTTGGAAAATGCATTAATGCAATGTAATGAAAGCAATTGACCTCAGATTTTAAAAGTGAAATACACAAAAGATGTACAGTATCCATGAGACTGAAGACAGCAGTTTTCATTTTGTTGGTATAAAATTACTTAGATGGAAAAGCATTTGCTGTTCTATGGGTTTTTCAAGTTCTCAAATCAAGCTTGTTGTATATTTTTTGTTACTATTGTAGATGATGACTTTGTTTTATAGTCTCTCCGAAGAATTTTTGAATAAAGGATACCATAGATACAGTTAAGTCTGCTTCATATCTTGATGGGTGCCACTAGCATCTGAATTCAACCCTGTTTTTTGTGGAGCTCCACCTATCCCTTAGTGTTCTGTGTAATGTTTTATTATTGTTGTTCTTGTCTCGCCTGCAACAAAAGTCAAAGAATGTGACACACAGGGATTACTATCCAGAGGTGGCAACGACATAACTATTTGTATAGACTAGGGATTTCAACTCGGTGAAGATTTACTAATTGAGTACTCGTTGGATTTACCGAGCGATACTCGAGTACTCGCTCGAAAAAACATATACAAAATGGAAACACAAAATTAAACCCAATTTATGGATTGTGGGGAAGTTGTCTTATGAACGTAAAACCCTCAACATTAATACCTTGGACTAGATAATAGTCCCAGGAATTTTATATCATAATTAATTATAGCTCATTTACTACATGTACTAATTATGTAAACAGGCAATAATCTAATCAATTAATTAATAAATATCTATAGAAAATTGATTACTAAAACAACAGTATTTGGAAATCGTAAAGAAACACATTTATGATCAACAAACTGGTGATGATTAGGACTTTAACCATTCTCTGAGGGTCGAAACAGGGTGCAACGAATTTGTTCTTATTTAGAAATATTATCTTGTCAACTTTTTCTGGGACAATTCAATTTTTCCACCTTGTTTATGTAACTAACAGTCCTGTTGATGAAAATATTTGCTCTGGCGGTACAGAGATCACCTTGGTAGAATGACTAGGACACAATTAGCTAAAAGTGCAGGCCTTGGAAAGGTGCTCTTGTTCATAGCGCATGAGGGAATTTTAAATGACAATTAAACGCAAACATTCGAAGTGTATTATTATTTTGATTGATACTAGTATTTAATTTCTCGGGAGGCACTCTAAATAAATTCTGTAAGAAGGCAACAACATTCTAATAAAAACAAAAAACGATTAATCGAGTATCATTTTGGTATTCGATACTCGGTACTACCGAGCGATACTCGAGTACTCGTTGACATCCCTAGTATAAACCTTTATATTTCAGAAGGTAGAAGACTTGGATGCTCCATACCTTGTATACAGATACCTTATGTTACAAAGTTTCCATCTGTCATATATGTCTGTTTTGAACCATATTGTCCAACATTGAAAAGGTGTCTTTAATTAAGTTTCTTAAAAAAGAAATTTGACTTATTCATTCATATGGTAATCATTGTTATTGAATTAATTGAATTTAACTCATAAATTAGAACTAAAGTAAAATCATTTTTACATGGTCATTATGGATTTTTGGGTTCGGAGAATGAGCTGTTTGTTCCTTCAAAGGAAGTTAAAAAAATTTTGACAACTACCTATATGGTCAAAATACTTGAATGGTCCAGCCCGATAATAATCAAACGAGTATATACTCATACGGTCAAAATACTTGTATGGTCCTGAGCATGTCCATTGTCTAATATTTGTATGGTCCTGAACATGTCCATTGTCTAATATTTGTATGGTCCTGAACATGTCCATTGTCTAATATTTGTATGGTCCTGAACATGTCCATTGTCTAATATTTGTATGGTCCTGAACATGTCCATTGTCTAATACTTTTATGGTCCTGAACATGTCCATTGTCTAATACTTGTATGGTCCTGAACATAATATTTGTATGGTCCTGAACATGTCCATTGTCTAATACTTGTATGGTCCTGAACATAATATTTGTATGGTCCTGAACATGTCCATTGTCTAATACTTGTATGGTCCTGAACATGTCCATTGTCTAATACTTGTATGGTCCTGAACATGTCCATTGTCTAATACTTGTATGGTCCTGAACATGTCCATTGTCTAATACTTGTATGGTCCTGAACATGTCCATTGTCTAATATTTGTATGGTCCTGAACATGTCCATTGTCTAATATTTGTATGGTCCTGAACATGTCCATTGTCTAATATTTGTATGGTCCTGAACATGTCCATTGCCTAATATTTGTATGGTCCTGAACATGTCCATTGTCTAATACTTGTATGGTCCTGAACATGTCCATTGTCTAATACTTGTATGGTCCTGAACATGTCCATTGTCTAATACTTGTATGGTCCTGAACATGTCCATTGTCTAATATTTGTATGGTCCTGAACATGTCCATTGTCTAATATTTGTATGGTCCTGAACATGTCCATTGTCTAATATTTGTATGGTCCTGAACATGTCCAGTGTCTAATATTTGTATTGTATTCTTGTTTGTTAATTATTACATGTCATCAACCCTTCAGGATTGAAAAAGATTATATAAAAATAAGGAGATGTGGTATAATTGCCAACTGTCCACCAGAGACCAAACGACGAGGATGTAAACAAATATAGGGTACTGTATGGCCCTCAACAATGAACAAAATCCGTACTGTGTAGTTAGATATAAAAGGCCTGGTCTGACAATATTGTAAAACAATTCAAAAGAGAAAAACTATGGCCTGATTGTTAAAATCAATAAATGAAAAACAGACAACAGCCGATAACTCCTGAATTGCAGGTTCATGACTTTGTACAGGCACATAAATAATGTGGCAGGGTTAAACGTGTTTTTGAGCGCTCAGCTCTCCTCTAACCTTAGACGATACCTGGAAGTAATATTATAAGTCTTCCATGAACAGTTGAACAGCACAATATAAGAACAATCTATCAGCTTCAAAGGTCTTTGGTTATAGAACACACATTTTTATGATTTTATATAGAAAAGTGTGGTTAAGTAATACTTTCTTCGAACTCACACCTGTGAGTGAAGAATTTATTCTTTTAAAAGTTATAACGTTTAAGTCCATGTACAAGTACCAGTTTATAAGAGATGGTGCATGTATTTAAAAAAAACAAAACATATCTAGTTAAAAAAGAAAGGCGAAAGATACCAAAAAGGGACATTCAAACTCAGAAGTCAAAAATAAACTGACTGCGCCATGGCAAAAATGAAAAAAGACCAAAGATAATTAACAGTATACAAAACACAAAATAGAAAACTAAAGACTTAGCAACTCAAACACCTCCAAAAACCGGGGGTGATCTCAGGTCACTGAAAGGGTAGACAGATCCTGCTCCACATGTGGCACCCGTTGTGTAAATAAATCTTTCTTCAGTGGTATTGTCCCAGATAACTAAAAAGAACAGCAGACTTGTTGTTGGAAACTATAGACCTGTTAGCATTATGGTTTTTGTATCTAAAATTCTCTCAAATCAGTTTCTTCTCAGTTTGAAAATTATTCAGTCCGGCTTTAGGTCTTGTATTCTACATGTTTAATTCATTTACTTAATCATATAAAAACAAAACCATACTGGTATAATGCTAGATCTTTAAAAAGTGTTTGATACAATTGATCATTCTATTTTATGTAATAAACTATAAACAATGGGTTTAAAATCCTTAGAATGGTTTAAATCATATTTGACAGAGAGAAAGCAGAAAGTAAATGTAAATGATGTTGAATCTAGATTTCAAACAGTTAATTGTGGAGTACCTCAAGGTAGTATTTTGGGTCCACTTTTATTCTTATATTATGTAAATGATATATCTATAGTATTAGTTCAGATTCTAAATTATTATTATATGCTGATGATAGCACAATTTTATTTCGCATAGAAACATGGAGGTTATATCTGTAAAACTTGGAAAGGAACTCCAGTCTTGCGTTCATTGGTTAATTGGTAACAAATTATCCCTGCATTTGGGCAAAACTGAGTGTATTCTAAAAAATTGGTTCAAAACCTAATCTTGCAAAATTTGACAACTTTCAAGTTAGCTGCAATAACCATATTATTCCAGCTCAAAATTGTGTAAAATACTTTAGCCTAAACATAGAGAGAGATTTGTCTAAGGAACAGTCTGTAATATTTTACAAAAAGTGAATGCAAGACTGGTTGATGTCTACCATAAAATACTAGAAAAACTTTATATACTGCTTTAGTACAATGTCATTTTGATTATGCATGTTCAGCTTGGTATTCTTGTTTGTGTTTTGTGTAAACAGTTTTAAAATAAGTTACAAGTATTTCAACCTAAATCTGTAAGATTTATTTTAAATATACGGAAAACAGAACCTCTGTAAATAATAATGTGTTAAATAGTATTGTTTTTTTAATGCAGAAAATAAAGTCCAACAACTACTTTTTTGCTAAATGTAGAAAATAAAGTCAAACAACTAACTTAAAGATTAAACCATGTAAATCAAATATTTCATAACAAAAGCCCTTACTGCATACTAAGATCAAAAATTGTTATAATTATTCAACAAGATCTAGTGAATACCATTTTTTAAAGCACCCATAAAAGGGCAACAGATTTTAACATTTTATTATAATGCTAGGATTGGAACTTGTTGCCAAATTATTTAAAGCGAACACAAATTTTAAATCTAATTTTAGTATGTTTACATATCTGCTATTGTTTTATACAATGTACTATTTTTGCAATGTTACATGCTGATATTTGATCAAATATATCCATTTATTTAAATCTATCTAAACTATATTGTATACAAATCAGTTGGAAAAAGGCTTGAATTCTGTGTCATTTGGTCTCTTGTGGAGAGTTGTCTCATTGGCAATCATACCACATCTTC